TGTTGTTTTACATATTGTGCTACATGTTGCTTTACATATTGTGCTATGTGTTGCTTTACATGTTGTTTTACATATTGTGCTAGGTGTTGCTCTACATGTTGCTTTACATATTGTGCTATGTGTTGTTCCACATGTTGTTTTACATATTGTGCTATGTGCTGCTCTACATGTTGTTTTACATATTGTGCTATGTGTTGCTCTACGTGTTTTTACACATTGTGCTATGTGTTGCTCTACATGCTGTTTTAAACATTGTGCTATGCGTTGCTCTACATGTTGTTTTACATATTGTGATGTGTGTTGCTCTACATGTTTTACACATTGTGATGTGTGTTGCTCTACATGTTGTTTTACATATTGTGCAATGTGTTCCTCTACATGTTGTTTTACATGTTGTGCTATGTGTTGCTCTACATGTTGTTTTACACATTGTGCTATGTATTGTTCTGCATGTTGTTTTACATATTGTGCTATGTGTTGCTCTACATGTTGTTTTACGTGTTGTGCTATGTGTTGCTCTGTGTGTTGCTCTATGTGTTTCTCTACATGTGAGGTGCAATGTTTTTTTCTCCTCCCTCTCTCTCGCAAGCAAGACGGATGCTTTCTCTTCCCTCTCCTGTCTTTCTCCTGCTTTTTGCTCGCTGTCTGTGTATCGGAGCTTCTATTTACACAATTTCTTCTGAATTGTAAATTACTGTCATGGATCTGGTCAGCTGGACTTCCAACGTAATTGATAAAGTTTTTTCAACCAAGCAACATGGTCCTGGAGAGCCCTCATGCCCCAATGAGACGCGCACGTCAGCAATGTTCCCTCTAATATTTCATGTGTCTGGGCAAACACAAAAGCTCCCTGAGCGCACTGAGGACCACTGTGAGCAACATCAGATGTACACGCTGTGGTCACACACCAGTATCACACCTGTTCAAAACCTGGGATTATTGATTCAATAACTATTTTGTTAATTTCACAACAAGACCTGCCTGACCAACAGCTCTCCTTGTGTGAAACACTCCACTTCTTTCACACATACTAGTCACAGTCTAAGAAACACAGTGCAGCCCAAGTTAAGTTTTAGGGAAAAAAAATCTCTATCCAATATGAAACAATAATAATAATCACTCTTCTTACTGATGGCCTAGTATAAAACAATATGATGATCATCCATCCTGTTTACTAGAAGCTTAAAATACCTAATTAAAACTTCAGTAGTGGGCTAGGTCTACTGTAACCTTACCCAGTTGTAGGGTCAAGAGACAAACATGTAGCATTAACACAGTATGAGCAACATTCAGGAATTGTTTCTAGAAGAACATTATCAAATATTTTACGTGAACAGTAAGATCGCTCTGTCCACGAGGACATGTAACCCAGGCTGAGCTAACCTCGAACAAACTAACAAACAAAGACAGCTGTAATGTGGAGGTGGTGAAGCTCACGGCGTTATCTGAGACGTTTATTTCTTATCGACCAACATTAAGGCAAATAAGACAGAAAAAACTAATCTACTAATAACTTCAAATAGTTCCTGCAGCAGATGTTTTCATGCTGCACATCAGCACAGGACAAGAACTCACAGTGAAATTCAGTCTGTAAGAGACAATTTTACATTAAACAACCTATTAAACTTATTTTTCTTCTTCTTTCGGCTTTTTCCTCTTCAGGGGTCTCCACAGCGAGTCATCCTCCTCCATCTCTGTCCTCTGTGTCCTCTGTCCTCACTCCAACTACCTCCATGTCCTCTCTAACTGCATCCATATATCTCTTATTTCTCTTTTTCCTGGCAGCTGCATTTCTAACATCCTTCTACCAATATACCCACTGTCCCTCCTCTGGACATGTCCAAACCACTGTCCCTCTTCTGGACATGTCCAAACCGTCTCAGTGTGTCTTCTCTAACTTTATCTCCCAGTTGTTCAACCTGTGCTGTACCTCTGATGATCTCATTCCTGATCTTCTCCATCCTCGTCTCTCCTAAGAAGAACCTCAACATCTTGATTGCTGACACTTCCAGTTCTGTCTCCTGTCTTTTTGTCCACGTCTCTGTCTCCAGACCATACAACATAGCTGGTCTCACCACTGTCTTGTAAACTTTTCCTTTGACCATCCAGATATGCTCCGAGCACTGTTTGCTAACACTTAGCATGATAAAAACAGCACGATTGCACAGGCGTGCGTCTTGGAGGGAACATTGGGTCTGTGACTTTCTGTGTTGTCTCAGGAGGACGCAGAAGATACATCTTTGGATTTATGACAGCAGGGTTTCTGCTTTTTGGCACCGGCAGATACCCATGTTATTGGCTATTAAGGACGACGGTGCAGCCATTTCGGCCACGGCAAAGCTGCCGACCTTATGTGAAGGATTAATTTGTGCTTCGAGCTCTCAGACTCCGCTGATTTACGAGCTCAACTGTAAGATAGAAGCGATTTATGAGAATCGTAGATCACTTGCGGCTTTGGAACTCGCCTGCATGTTGGGGACGACCTTGGAGGAAGCTAATAAGCACAGACCAGTGGAATGCCCTCAAATATGGCCATTTTGGATCATCAAAAGTACTAGCAGGACTCAAGGTTGATGAGAAAAAAACAGTCTGCCTGCACGAAAAACAATTGTGGCTTATCTGAATCCGGCCTCCCCTGTTCAGCCTTGAAGTAGGCCGACTTATCAAATGTCTCCTGGGATAGGTGTAAAGAAGGCTCTGCTCTATCCACCCCCCCACCCCCCACCCCCCGAGAACTTCTGTGAATGCTCATCAGAGCTGTACCAGCTGACACCAACATCTTATCAGGACTATGGTGCTATCTGGAAGTGCTTCATGGACAAATCTCACCGTCTCATTGTCAAATGCATGTGTACTGTGTCTACAAATGTGCTGCTGGTAGATTTTTTGATGTCTTAAATCGTGTCCTGACAAGGACAAGGTGATTTTTTTAAAAACCACTATTAATGGGAGTATCAATACACCCATTGATGTTATTGTTAAACACTTTGATAACAGTTTGTTTTAAATGTGCTCTATAAATAAAGTTGACTTGACTATCCTCATGGTCTAAAAGAATAAGGGGCTGCGCTTTTAGGATCAGCAGCAACGTGCACTCCACCCATCTTTTGGACGACTGTATGGAATATAATCTCTCTGTACTTCGGTGCAATGATAATACAGCTTATTCTGATTTTGTTTTAATATTGCTCTATGTGTTACCCCTATGTGTTGCTCTACGTGTTGTTCTGTGTATTCCATGTGTTGCTCTATGTGTTGCTCTACATGTTATTCTGTGTGTTCCATGTGTTGCTCTACGTGTTACCCCTATGTGTTGCTCTATGTGTTATTCTGTGTGTTCCATGTGTTGCTCTGTTACCACGTGTGTTTCTCTACGTGTTGTGTGTGTTCCATGTGTTGCTCTATGTGTTACCCTATGTGTTGCTCTATGTGTTATTCTATGTGTTCCATGTGTTGCTCTAT